CCATCACCACTACACCCATCACCACTATACCCTACACCCTTCACCCATCATCACTACACCCTACACCATCACCACTATGCCCATCACCACTATACCCTACACCACTGCATCCATAACCCCTACACCACTACACCCATCACCACTACACCCATCACCACTATACCCTACACCCTTCACCCATCATCACTACACCTATCACCACTACGCCCATGACCACTATACCCTACACCACTACATCCATAACCCCTACACCACTACACCCATGACCACTATACCCTACACCTCTACAGCCATCACCACTACACCCATCACCACTATACCCTACACCCTTCACCCATCATCACTACACCCATCACCACTATACCCTACACCCTTCACCCATCATCACTACACCCATCACCACTGCACCCTACACCACTACACCCATCACCACTATACCCTACACCACTACACCCATGACCACTATACCCTACACCACTACAGCCATCACCACTATACTCATCACCACTACACCCATTACCACTATACCCTACACCCTTCACCCATTACCACTACACCCTACACCATAAAGCACCACACCCATCCCCACTACACCCTTTACTACTACAACTTAAACCACTACAACCTACCTCCGTAGACCCTTCACCACTATACCCTAGACCACTACACTATAAACCCCTTCACCCTATACCATTACACCCTTAACACTACACACTTAACTGCTACACCCTAAGCCCTACACCTGTAGGGCTGAACAATGTTGTTAAAAACTCTAAACTGCGATTCCATTCAGCCGCTGTTGTAGATGTTGTTTGCCTGTCTAGATTTCATTGTTGCAGGATGTTAGTGTTACATTTCTTTGGAAAAGTGTTTTACTTCTACTTGCATAAATCTACATTATAGCATCTAGGTTTTAATAAAAGTCCTGGATGTTAATGTCCAAGTGGGTCAAACTGGGTCCCTCCTGTTGTCTTTGTAGACTCCAGGACTTCTAGGACAGTCCTTCAGGCTCTGGACTGTTCAGATGCTTTCAGGGGAAACCAGAACCACACAGTCAGGGTTCTTGAAGGTTTCGTTGGGCCCTTTACAGTGATGTTTACAAAAGTTTAAGCGACACTTTTTCTTGGAGCGCTGGCTTTGGGCTTTTCCTTTTAACCTCACAGATAAAACATCTCATGCTCACTAATAGAGCACTATTCATGTCATAGAAAGCAACGGTCCTCCCTGGTGGACACCCAGGCCGGGGTTTTATGTAACACACCTTAAAACGGCGTGCGAGGCAGAGATGACGGCTCTGACACTTCACAGGAAGGAAAGCGGCGCTGCGCTCGCTGGCAGCTTTGATTGTGGAGGTCAAACACAGAGCAGATCTTCACACAAACGCGTCCTGATCGGCCGCGCCGCCTCCTCTCCTCGCCTTGATGTTGCTGTAACATGGAGTAACAGCGGGCCTCGATGGCTCCCCTGGGTGCCGATTAGTGGGCTTCATGACTGCCACAGCAAGCTTCAAAAGCTGGAAGGAGCAGGAGGAGGAGGAGCTGTCCTTGGCCGTTTCATGGTGGAAGACAGTCAGAGACTTTCTGCATGTAATGAAGCATCAGGAGCTACAGAGATGAAGCTGGAGATGCTTCAATGAGGCAGCAGTCCTCCTCCTCCTCTAAACGCTGGGCCTTAATTCCTCGTTTCCTCCAGCAGTCTTCGGTCGTCTCTCATCAGAAGCTGATTTATTGCTTGATGCTGTTAAAAAGTTGAGTTCTGGACGGGTCCAAACCCAAACGACTCGCCGAGAAATTCATCATGGATCCTCAGAGGGCTGGGAAGCTGCAGCCAGGCTGCTGAGATAAACTGTGCAAACATTTAGAAGGGTGGGAGCTAATGGAACATGATGAATGCTGCGCTCAGTCCAACTCGCTTCATGTTGCTGTCAGAACAAACGGGTTTGGGTCGGGATTAATGAGGTCAGCCCGGCAGCTGAGTCTTCCTCCAGATGCTGCTGGTAGAAAAAAACAAAACAAAAAGTAGTGTTTAAGTTTTCCCAACATTTGGTCTGATGTCAGAACTCAGTTTCTCTGCTGTCGGACGGAACCGAGGAGCTTGGAGCGGCGCCGCGTTCATCTGAGTCATCGGATCACGTGGTTCTGGGATGTTTTTCTCACTACAATGCTTCATTTTTTTTTCCTTTTAGTCCCTTAGACTGTTTTACTTCAGGCATTAAAAAAAATGTCATCACTGAGAAAATGAGAAGATAACAGAGAACCAGAACTTTCTGCTGTGGTAGATAATATGCTGGAACACGGAGGCTAAGTCATTTCTACGGAAGCTTCAAAAACGCGCGTGCTGCTTCATTTCTGACTCATAAAATGTCATCAACAATCATCAAGAACAGCAAACAGAGAAAGAACAGGTTGTTCTGGCCCCTCCCTCTTTACCCAGCATCTCCAGACTGACAGCTGTCCCAGCATGCACTGCGGCAGCAGAAGCTTCCAGGTTAGCGCTCACAGAGCTATAAGTTAAGTTGAAAGTTCTCTTTCCTGTTGCCATTGTTCATTAAAAGTACGCTGTAAGATTATTTTAGGCGAGAATATCATACTTTAAGCTTCACTATATGGAACATTTACTGATTTAGGGCGTAATAAAAAAAAAAATCCAAAGTTGAGAGGACTGCAGCTACAAGCGGAGCTCCGAGGTTAAATGGCAGGCAGGGCTAACATTAACTTGTCTGCAGTGGCCAGGGCTAACGTTAGCCCATCAGCTGCAGCCAGGGCTAACGTTAGCCCATCAGCTGCAGCCAGTGCTAACGTTACTTCGTCAGCCGCAGCCAGGGCTAATGTTAGCCCGTCTGCAGCAGCCAGGGCTAACGTTAGCCCATCAGCTGCAGCCAGGGCTAACGTTAGCCCATCAGCTGCAGCCAGTGCTAACGTTACTTCGTCAGCCACAGCCAGGGCTAATGTTAGCCCGTCTGCAGCAGCCAGGGCTAACGTTAGCTCTAGTGCCGCAGCCAGGGCTAACGTTAGCTCTAGTGCAGCAGCCAGGGCTAACGTTAGCTCTAGTGCAGCAGCCAGGGCTAACGTTAGCTCTAGTGCAGCAGCCAGCGCTAACGTTAGCTCGTGTGCAGCGGCCAGTGCTAACGTTAGCCCGTCAGCAGCAGCCAGGGCTAACATTAGCCCGTCTGCAGTGGCTGATTGTGCAGAACATAAAACAATGTTCTGTCTCAAACGTGTTCTAAGAGTCCAAATCAAATTCTCTTATTAAAAAGAAGAGGATCTACAGGCCGGTTCTTAGAGCCGCTTGGTTTCATGTTCTCTGCTTCATTTATAATAATGTTTCTCACTATTTGGGACGTATTACGCCGTATTTATTAATCTGCTGAGAACCAACAGCCTCATGAGGACCAACGTCTGGTTCTAATTTGGACATTTTAATGATTCAGGGTCGGCTTATTGGTAGAGTGTGAAATAAATTTCAGCTAAGGTTATGCTAGGTG